TCATTGTTTCATCATTGCGTTTCTTCTCGCCGCTGATAATGCAGCTGGCTATTTCACAAGCAGTAAGAACTAGAAACATAAAATATTAATTCTGCATTCTTTCAGTACAGCTATATTTAGTTCAAAAACATTATCGCTATCAAAATTTGACTGAGACGAACTACCTCTCTGCTGTTCTCTTTTTCGTCCCCACGATTAATAGAAACTGACATGTCAGCTTGAAAAATCCTCAGACCGCTTTTAGCTTAGTTCTCAGGCAATTTTTTGACCTTTTCAGTAGACGCGTCTCACTGATAAAAGAGTAACCTCTCGGGTTTTCAGTAAGAGCTTCAATTTGTCATGAAGAATGAAGTGTGGGGGGAAAGGAGAGGGGGAGGTTCAGTATTATTTGTTATAAGTCCAGTATTTCGGAAATTTATAAGTAAAATAAACGGCATGTTGGCTTCCGTCGTGAAAAAAGCGGAACCAGACAGCAATTGGCAACAGAACTTTTGGTGAGAAAAGAAATTTCTTACTTAAGTAAAAATATCGCCTGCCTCTATCCCTTTAACCAAATCAAAGAACCTCTTTCCCTCATTAATCTTACACCTCATTTTGTTTTTACATCTCAAACACAACTGGTTCCACAGACCTATACCAGCATTTCCTGTTCAATGCCTACTTGTGTACCAATTGATGAAATTTTCTAGAGTTCATTCGGAATTTTTTCGCTGCTGAAACAATAGAACAGCTCGTTGTATAGCACCGCTCGCATTGTCAGAAGGTAACTTCACGTTCACGAGTACAGCAGCAATAATGCTGGAGATAACCACGATGACACATTAATTAGCTGCTGTTCATAGCGTAGTCTCCCGCCGCTACAGCTGGCACCCAGTTGTACTGAACAGTATTAGATTGCCTGGTAGTCATTCTACTGGCGATCCTAACGTTCGTTTCGTTACACTGACTGTGGTATGATGGAAATGTACAAACAATCAGACAGCAGGCTATATCAAGTTTATACAAAAATAATGGTATTATATGCCATCTAGTTTAGCTCCTGCCTTCCTACGCCTTTTTGGCTTGTCTCTAAGTTTGCGTTAAAGCTTTTATAACTTTCCACGTTAAAGTTATGTTAACGTCGCGTTTTGCGAAAATAACCTTTCGAACTGGAACAGTCTTCCCATCAAACTTTTCAGGAAGCGTTAACCTTTATAACCAATTTCAAATATCTTGTGTACTGATCCGTTTGCAAAATCAGATTTCGAAACTTCATAGAACCAGATTTTTGGAACCGTAGTGGACTAGAGAAGGGAGGAGTGTTTTGACTGTATATACAGCTTGATAGACTGAAATGCCTTCCTCGTAGCTAATACTCTTATATATGTTTATATTCATATATCATATGCGAGAGTGCCAAGACCTCGTTTGGTGTTCCCAAAATGCTCGACAGATGCCCGGCGCAACGGACATATTAAATTTATATATGCACATAAACAGCAGGGATTTTTTTTGTGTTCACATTTATACTTTTCTATTGGCCAATTACTAAAAAGCATTCGGCAGTGTAAAGCTGAGCCCTGTTTTACAAGCTCTTGTAGATGGAGAAATTGACATCCGCGCGGAATTTTGATATTTTTGGTATTTATAATTCTATTTCATTAATTGTTTCTCGTTCGTTCACTTTTATGTAATAATCATTTGCACATAAATTCATTTTTGCTCCATTCGCTTGAAATCTTGCCAGAAGCAGCAAAACATTTATGCTTTTAAGAATTCTAAGACTGCTGGAGAAAACAGCAATATTTTGGCTTGGACTTACTTGGCTTCGAATAGTCGTTGGTTAAAAGATGCACAAAACGCCAGCTTCTCCATATTTTCCCCTCTGCTTTCGTGCACTTTGTTCTGTTTTCCACTTTAGCTGCCTCGCATTTGCATTAATTGTTTTCTGATCAAAAAGTGCAAGCAGCTGCTTGCTTGAACAAAGCAAAAAAAATTTTTTTCGCAAGTATCGATGTTCTGAACTCACAACACAGCTTCTAGCATCCTCCAGCTAAAATCGCTCACCGAGATTATTAAGACCGTTCGCAAAACCGCTGTGATTATTTCGCGTTACTAAAATTACTGGAAAGACCTTTCTATCTGCCGGAGTGCAGCCATGCCAGACCCTTCGATTCTGGACCGCACATAAGATGAATTTAGTAAAAAATATTGAAAAATTACCGAAGCGCTACTTTTGGGACTTACTTTTTCGTGTTATGCCTTGATTTCCACTTATAGTGGTAGAGCAGGTTGCCAAAATTTCATCTTCACAATTTCTATAGGTCTGAGGATCATAATTTGCGGACAAATGAAAATAAACACACAGACACACAAACACAGCATACTTCATTATAGTATTTGTTTATGCACTTTGTTTATGCACTACACAGATGCAAAAACTCGAATTACACATTTTCAAAAAGAATGTATTCTGTACTTATTTTTCATCTTGGAGTAGTACTACACTTTGTAATTAATCGCTGCGCACCGTTGAAAACTCTTATCACCGGACTTCTGCTGTACTTTTTTGAAGTTATACTGGATGACAATCAACAACGGCAAACTTTCTCTGGAAGATGTTGCGTGGCGGAGCCGCCCAGTGAGCAGACATCTTTCTCTTGCTACCCCTTCTCGTGCCGCCGTTCTTTTGTTTATTTTTTTCTCACTCGTTCGTCCATAATCCAGATTTTTATCAGTGGACTTTTGCCGAACATCGAGAAATCGCTTCTCGTCTTCAGTTGCGCCGTTCATCTTTTTCTTTTGCTTTCTCCTTTCTTTTATTTATGATGTGTGCCAAGAGCAATAAAACCGTTGGTCTGGTATCCCTTGTTGATGGTACTTCCCCACGCACCGTGCGCAGCTTTTGCCAGGTCGATTGATCCTGAAATGCATATCTTCAGTCAATAATGCAGGATGCTCATCTGTGTACGCCAAGTATCCAAGACTGCTCGGGCTATCAGTGCGGGAATTCCATGTTATTAATGTTACTGGCAAGCTTGTACCGTGCGCAATTGTATCATGATCCTGGGATTCATACCTCAGTTTGTATTGTTCGCTACCAAAGTTGTATATAAAGCTGCACATATGTTAACATTCTCAAAATTTTCATAGCTTTCAAGAAACTTCAAGCACTTGCTTTTTTTGAGAAGGATTTTGTAAACATCCATCAATCATATTCTCACAATAAAACATTTTCCCAGCAACAATGTCACTTTTGCACGCTAGTGAGTCAGACGAACCATCAGCTTGTTTGAACAGTTCTCGAAAGAGAGAGCCATCAATTGCCTTGTAATCATTCGGGGTACTTCGGAGTGCCTTTTTTTTCAATAAAAAAAGTAAGATATGAGTTGGAATGCTGACTTTTTTGAGCCAAAAAACCGCAACACCAATGAAAAATTGAGCGCCATATTTAAGTCAGTGACACATGCTAAGTGACAGACCAAGTCAATTTAGTATGACCAGTTTTCATGAAAATTACCTAAAAAACAGAGAAGGCAATCATTTTTGAGAATAACTACAGAATCGGTTTATCAAAGGATAATAAATTGTTTACTAGGCAAACATGAAAAAGCAGATGTTATCTATAGAAAAGCAGCGGCCAAATATCAAAAAAAATCCACTTTCAAGTTTCGAGAAGCTGATTCTATCGTGTGGAACAGAATGAGTCAGAATGTGTGACTTATTTTTTCATCTTGATAGTTTTTAGGTCGTTTTTCATAATAACCTTAAGACTTATCTCCGCACCTCATTGGCAAATCCTTGATGCTCTGAGGTACAGTGTCGAACGTCAAAATCAATAATGCTAGTTCTTTCTGGTAACGAATGACTTGATAAACAAACAGTGGTAAAACGAAACAGTTCAGTAATTGAAAAAACTTGACTCGCGTATCCCATAAAATTTGAAAACGTGAATTTGAACTACGCGTAAACCTTTCCTGGGTTGCTTACCTTAATCTGATATCTCAGAGATTTTTATATTTACTTTATTAATTTGTTCAGCTGTCGTTTCACCGTTGTATTTCTTCTTGCCATTGATGTAGCTAGGAACTTCTTCATTCCCTATTCTGCATTTCTTTTACACGTATAATTTTATGCAACAGTTTGAACGGATCATTTAGTCTGCTGACGACCTTTCCTGTGTTCTTTTAACATGTCATGGATAGCAGCCAAAAATACGTTTTGCCCATCTGTTACCTCTTATCCTTTTCACATGACCAACGGAATCCTTCTTGGCAAGCACTGCCAAAAACACTCGCACAAAAGTTGAGCCGCAGTACTTTAGTGGAAATGTGCTGCAATTTACTGACACTTGTTGAACGTTGTAGCTCGCTGGTTCACCACTTTTTCTACGTTCAGAACATATTATTTAATTTCCAGTCAAAAATTTTACAAGCTACCCTTCATTCCCTTTTATATGGCGCTTCATATCTTGTTTTGTACATATAGATTCGTAAGTGGCGCGTTAATTCGTTCCATATTCTAAAACGTTTGTTTATAAATCACTATGGATGTTTTTGCAGGAAGTGTTCCACTAATATCAGAGCTGTGCTAGTGATGCTGGTTTTTGTCAAGGTAATGCAAATTTTCATCGATTTTAGGATGAGAAGAGAGGATGATCCACGCATCGAGCAAGTTGGAGTGGACAACAGGGTTATTTGTAGCTAATGGGTGGGTAAGGGGCGTTATTTTTGGGAAGGTGCTGGGGGCTGTATGGATTTTGTTAATTTAAAAATACCCGGCTCAATTCTACCCTTTCAAACGATCAGTATGATCATTTGGGCCAATTAATATGGTCACTCGATCCACAGCCACTAAGATTATGGATAAAGACAATACGGAATTCGTTAATTTCAAAATAATTAGTATATACAGTGGCTGTAACATATTTTCAGGACGGTCGAGGAGTGACGCTATCAATGGACCTTGAAGGCACTGAACGAGTCGATCATCTCCAGAAAATACTGAAACGAGAGGATGCAATATTGGAATTGAATAATCCGGACAATCTTATGCTTATTTTCAAAGGTTTGATCCGGGCGTACTTTTAATCCTCTCTCATTTTCCACCTCAAATGAAATCTACTCACCGTGAAGCTTTGAAAAGAATAAACAAGTCGGAACTAACATTGAATGATGAACTGGAAATCTGGGATCCCATGTTAATGGAGAGCCGAGATATCCAGGAACAAAGAATAGATTCTGCTGGCTACTCGTATTTCGAGTCTTTTCAGCTTGAATATCTGATATTTTTATGTATTTTATATATCTTGCAAATGCAAAAACACATATTGGCAAGAGGTTGTCTGTGTGCGTATGTGTATGCAGGGATGTACGTGTGTGTATGTGTGTCCGCTTGTTCACACTTTTCGTCACCCACTTTCAACTCAAGAACCAGAAAGCTTGGAGCGCGGAAAATTAAAGAACCTTATGCGTTCTCTTCCATTTAAATACTATCATTCACTTACGCCTGAAACTCACATACAGACGCCCAAAAGAAATTATGTAAATTTCTTAGCGGGAAAGCGAGCTCGGGACCCAGACCCTGTTTGAGCTGAAAGTTTCAAAACATCGTTGACGTTCGCATATATTTGCTTTCTGTAATTCATTATGTAAACGTAAAATGAGCTGTGGCATACT